GTTGTAAGCGCTGTCGACTGCCTCGTCCTCCTTCTCACCTTCCTCATCTTCCCCGTCCGCTAACATCTCCGAGGAAGCAGCCATCGACAATATCCCATCCTCAGAGTCCACGGTCAGTGGTGGGGTAGTGGTGGCGGCCGCACCTCGAATGGAATGCAGTGCCTCGTAGAAACGGCATATCTGGGGCTGGGATCTGGAGCGTCTGTTTGACTCTTTGGTCTTCTGGTACGCTTGTCTCAGCTCCTTGATTTTCACGCGGCACTGCGTTGCATCCTGGCTGTATCCTCTCTCTGTCATGGCTTTTGAGATCTTCTCGTAGATCTTTGCATTCCGTCTTTTCGATCGCAGCTCCGAAAGCACGGACTCATCGCCCCACACAGCGATCAGATCCAAGACTTCCCGATCAGTCCATGCTGGGGCCCTCTTTCTATTCTGAGATTGCATGGTCACCTCTGCTGGAGAACTCTGCATCGTTGCCAGTGCTGCTGAGCTCACCACGATGTCCAAACAGGAAATGAGATTCAAACTGCCCAGACAGGAAAAGGAATTCAAATTTTCCCGGGCTTTTCCTGTGTGGCTGGTCAGAGCATCTGAGCTCGGACTGCGGTCCAGAGCGTCAACAGAGTGGTGCACTGTGGGATAGCTCTCTGAGCTATTAGTGTCGATTTCCATCCACACCTACCCTAATTCGACATGGCCATGTCGAATTTAGCACTACTCCCCTCATTGGGGAGGAGTACAGAAATCGAATTTAAGAGACCTCTATGTCAAACTAAATAGCTTTGTTGTGTGGACGGGTGCAGGGTTAATTTGATTTAACGCTGCTAAATTCGACATAACCTCTTAGTGTAGACCAGGCCTAAGTCTGGTTGTAGTATTTTGAGAGTAAGCCCAAGCCTTCCTTCTCTGCCCTTAAGAATGGGTACAAAGGTTTTGAGCAATCAACCTTTTCTCTCCACAGACTTTTTTTGTGGGGTAGAATCTATGATTTTCTTTTCATTCTAGTGGAAAGTCATCTCTGAATAATAAGTCTTTTTTCTCTTGAGGGAAGGTGCTCATGTCATTTTCCTGGCTACTGATTCACAAATAACAAATTAGCTGGCAATGTGAATGTAATTTTGCCTTTACTTCCTTATAGTTTTATCTTTCATGTATAAATGTCATTCTTTTGATGTAGAAGCTTGGTATTCTTCATCTACTGTAAGAGAGGTAACAGACAACTGATTCAAAAGTTTAATTTTTTATAGGTATCTTTTCAATGATGCTGAAGTAAAACCATTTGATTCTGCTCAGCTTGCTTCTGAATGTTTTGGTGGAGAAATGACTGTAAGTTGTAGCCTTTACCTCTAGTCTCTACCCCCTGTTTTCCCCCCTTTTATTTGTTTGAATTTATTTTTTTATTATAATCTCAGAAGGTAGTACTGGACAATAGCCCTGCCCTGAGGACTCTGTCACATGGGTTCTATAGTGCTCTGCCCTGCCTTGCCCTGATACCCCTCCAGTTCAACATGTATATGAAGCTGCTAAGGGAGTTTAATTGAGACACTTGTTGTGGTAGGGACAAGGAGACTGCGCAGCCTGAGTCTGTTTATTTTCAGGCCATGATGCAAAGTCTTATTTGGTTGCCCAAACTTTCCCTGAGAGAGAGTGGGTTGCCTGGAGTATAAGGGGAAAGTTCTTTTGGTGAATTGGGAATTTTTGTGTGTGGAATGCAGAGCCAAATTAGTTTTTTGTATGTGTTTTAAAAAAAAGAAATAGCTATAAATTAACTTTATAAATACAGGTGCATTTTGCCCAAATAAACAGTTGCATAGTGATTGATATCCTTTACAATTCGTGTATATTGTTATTCACATTACATTAGTTTCCTGATCTGTAAAATAGTGATAACTTTTTTTTAAGCATTTGAGATCCTTGACTGAGAAGCACTTAATAAGTATAAAACATATTAATATTAATGCTTCAGGAACCACCAGTAGCTGCCAGAGAATGTAGTTCTTCAGACTACTGTCCGGAAAGAACTGGCAAATCAGGCACTAAACAGATGTTTTTAATGTTTTGTATTCAGACCTATGCCTTTTATAGTTTTTCTTTTGGTCAGAGAAAGGAGTTTCATGGATTTAAAATAAATATTAAAAGCAAATTACTTTACAAGACTGTACCAGCTTCTTGCCTTGGCTTTTGAATCTGCCGTATGGATTTGCCTTTTGTCAGCAGTGTGAATATTTTTACACATCTTTAGTACGAAGCACTGTTAAACCAATTGCAAACATTCACAATGTGTAAAAACCTACGACCGTGTGCTTTCCTGATTTGCATGCTTAATAACAGCTTATTACAACAATTCTATGAACAAGCTAAAGAATTCCACCTGGTAAAGTTGCTATGCCAAAGTACAACACAAAATTGATTCCGTGCAGAAGATCTGCAAAACATCTGCAGACTCCAAAAACAGAGGATATGGTCTGGAGAAATATGAGAGGAGTCAGAGTCAAAGTACTGCATATGCAACCCTGGAAAATGAAAGTAAGCTACTACAGAAAACTTAAAATTATTTAATGATGAGCAAGGAATATAATTGATGGCAGACCCTGCATGGAGGGCATAAAGTGGAGTTACTTCCTTGCATACTGAGACCAGAACCATCCGCAACGAGGCCATAAT